ATATGAAAAAGTATTTGTCTCTAGAACCTATATAGTGGGTGCTGGTACCGTCCTGATGGACACCGAGAGACAAGCCTCCATTTCCTCACCCTTCCTCGCGGGGCTGAGAGGCCGTGCATCGTTCAGGTCCTGCGAAAGAACATGACAGAACTGGCTCAAATGGCTCGTTGCAAGGGTGGTGCACTGAAAGCGCAGAACTCGAGGCACTCATTGTGACAGGAACGCAGAACCGACTTGCAGAATCAATGCAGTGGCAAATGTCACCACAAACCCCAACCGCTCGCTGAATAGAAAGGATGCACCATGATGGGCGCCCTGAACGGTAGGCGCGCCTACCGCCAGACGGCTCAAGTTGGCATGCATCCAGACTCGGACAGACACACAGAGCGAGCGCGAGAGAGAGAGAGAGAAGGACAAGGAGAAAGACACGTAGAACGGATAAGGGAGAAAATCACGTTGTTAAACCATGACAACAGAGAACAAAAACGTTGAAAGAGCCTTGCCTATAGATAGTTACCAAAGTTGTTGCTTGTTCTGTGCATCAAGACAGGAAGGTAGATGAGCGCTTCCCACACCACCAACTTCAATGTTCTGAACTGAGAGCGCAGGTAAGCAGGACTGAGGAAACAATGATACACGCAAAAACAGAAAGAAGATGTGCTGGCAAGATTCCACACTGCATACTCTCTGACAGTATAAACGAACTCTAGAGGTCTCTCTCCCTCCTTGATGATCTCTGCATCAAAGAACTTGGTTCGGCCCAGGGCCTCAAAGGCTGATGGCGCTACTCAGCCCTTGGACATGGCCCCAACTGGGCCCCAGTGCTGGGACTCAATGAGGTTGCATCTTTGTCTCTACTTCGACTCACTTCTCTGCAAACAAGCGCTTCGCTCATGGAGCTGGTCAACGACGCGTCTGAGGAGTCGGCCCGACAAGCCGCAGCGACGTTATCCGGCGTCATTCTGGGCCAAAGACGACCCACCGGAGGGGGACTGCGACCCTCCATGTCCTTCTTTTTGTGCACCCAACACTTGGCAGAGCAGAATGACTCACAGTAGCTTCTTAGAAGAGTGATCTTGTCGTTCTCTGACCTAGGACCTAGCTGGCTGCCCTGTTGGGGTACAACCATCGTTCTTTTTGGCATCAGAGGCTAGGAAACTTTGGTCTGTTGAGTCCTGGAACCTCAAGGTGTAGCAACCTGGCTCCCTCCCGAAAGACGCGCGCGACGCGCGGCTGCCGCGTGCAGAAAACACATGGCCTCCGCAGCTTCTTACGCAAGGCCGGCGATAACATCACCATCTTTCCAAAGGACTGCACCTGGCGTTTAGTGCATCGTGATGCAATCGATGGCATGATCGTCCCGTATCGTGCCAGATCGTCCAGGTGAAGAAAATTCCAAAGCAACAAAACCAGGCGGATCCACATTGGTTAGCCAAACGTTTCCCGGCTTTTCGCCACAAAAGGCCCACCCTCTGGGGCACTTCTGGGCCTCTTTCGTCCCTGTCTCGTCCGGTCGGTGGTCAACACACCCGGGCCTCGTCGAGCACTTCGGCACTGACATCGGCGTTCTCGTCCTGGACCACGGGAGTCGCGGCCGGTTTCTGGGAGTCACGGCAGGTTAGCACTACAAGCGCCAGATGGCTTCACCCATGGAATTCGACTCTCCCAGCCCCAGCCACCAAAACAGAGATGGCCCAAGCTAAGCTGCTTTCGGCAAAGGATGGAATGCTGAGAAGCGCACATCATCTTTATCCCTTTCTCCTTGGCCGCCCGAAAGTGAAGCCAGCCCCACAGCAAGAGTGAGGCTGAGGATGCCACTGTGTCTGGATCTTGATCTCACCCGATGACGAGATCTGGATCGCGATCTAGATCTGCCAATCAAATCTCTGAAAAAACAAAAAAGAATCTGAGGTCAGGTGTGTGCACCTTTTCAGCAACAAAAACAACCCGCGTGAGAGGAAACTGATTTTCCCAAACACCTGTCAGGGTCTCCGTCTAGTCGAATGAATCAAAATGAATCAAACCAGGTTGACAAGCTTCGGACTCTGATCTTTCGGTTGCTGGACGCGACTATCATCCAACTGCCATCTCAACTTGCAGCTAGGCAACAACATGGGGAACGTGCCTTCTGGATGCATCTGAACAGGAGGGACCCTCAACCAATGGGTCTTTCATGGACTCCCCTTCGAGTTGGCTGCACAAACAAGGAGAACCTTCTCCTTCGAAGTCTTTTCAACTTCGACCGAAAGACCTGGATCTGGATCTCTTCGACTTGGAGGTCTCAGTCTTGGCGACCTGAAGACACGAGTCGACCGAACACATCGAGATCGAGAATTCAGGAGGACCAAAGGCCACATGTCCACCTAAGAGATGTCGACCTGTTTGGAATTCATGGGCGGCCTGGAAGGGAGACCGGTGGAGATACTGTGCCCAAAGATGGCAGTATGGTGGTTTTGCCATGTTTTTCCATCCCTGCAAGCCCTTACCTCTCCGCAGGCTTTTAAGTTCCAACCCAACCTCTCTAATTTCCAGGTGTGGTCCTCCGATTGGCCTTGTTTGCCACCCCACCGATTTCTCCTCTTGTACCGTTGCTCATGGCGAGGAGGGCGAACAGAGACGTGAAAGCCCTACCTCCTCTTTCTCCTCTCTCTCCTTTTCCTCCGCTTTTTCTTCGTTTTCTTGACCTTCCGCGAAAAGATGGCTGGGGTCAAGAACAAGTACGAACTGGTCGGAGCCTTCATCCCCTTCATCTTCGAGCTCTTCATCCGAATCCTGACAGCATCGATGTCTGACTCCAGTGGTTTGCTTTGTGTGCCATGTACCTCGGAGTTCGTTTAAGAATCTATCCGAACTTAACCATGTTCCCAAAGAAGGTGTCGCAGCAGCCCCAAACGGCCCCTGACATCGTCCCCCCAAGATGTCAACCCAGGTGCCAAAATGCGCTACATTCTGCCCGTGTCAATTGCAGAATGTGCCCCAACATCATACAATAGACATGGCACAGGTCTAGGTGCACAGGTCTAGGTGCCGAACCATCCAAGCAAACACCTTCTCTTTCTTCCTCGTCTCAGGATTTGCTTGGGTGCCTAGACAGGGTCGGTCAGAAGTCTCTGTGGCCCTGACCCTGTGGGGATCTGATAAGTCAGACCTACACCGACCCCACCGGCATGCATCTGGCATATCAGCAATGCAAGTGAGGTTAGATAAGACCCAAGGCCCAGCCCCCAGCCCCGGAATGGCCCCATGAGAATGTCTGCAACCCTTTGATCCCTACCAGACCCTCACTTGACCTAGCACGAACTGCTCTGCCTGGCGCCTTTTCCGGAGCTTTCGTCTCGGGCTGTTCAGCACCTGGGCGAAGTCCGCTGTCGTCGATCTCTAGAGCCACCGGTGACATGGCTCGAGACTTGAAGGGTCGAGACGGTGCCAGAGGGTCGAACTTTCAGTCGGCTTGGAGCGCTCGACAGCAACCACATGTCGCGTTCGTCTGTCAGAAAGGTGGGTGCAGCATGTTGGGGCCAGGCCAACACACCAGCGAAGCCACGAAGCCATCGCACGAAACGACCTTTCTCCACAAAATGACTGTGCTGGCGCTCAGCTGGGGTGACACGATGCCAATCTTCTTCGGCGGATTCAGAAGTGAAGTGTGATCCTACCTCAGGACGCTTTCGGATCGGGGAGATCGGCCACCAAAACACGGACGTCTTTCGGACTTCGACCCAGACCAAGCTTACTCGCCAACTCCAAGCACAAACCGGCCAAACAATGCATGGATACCCAGTCGGCCAATTGAATTCCAGTCGGTGACCTCGGTCTCCGGGTGAGATTCCTGGAGGTTGGGAGGCTTTTCTTTCGCCATTCACTCCTGGAGGTTGGGTGGAGAGGTTCGATGGCGCAATCCCCCCCAAGTGGCCCAGGGTCGGTGTTTGATATGGACCCCTATATCACAGACATCTTGGGGTGCCAGTGCCATCCAACCTCTCAATCCACTCTTCAAGTACAACGCACGGATCAGGCTGATGGGCTTCGAGTCGGACGGAAGGGTCGGGAGAGGCAGAAAGTCCGATGTTGGGATAGCTAGGATTTTTCAATGAAGAACAGTTCAGTCCGAGAAGAAAGTCCTAAAAAATAACAATCCATTCCAGTTGGAAAAGAATTGGACTGGACCTACCCAGATGGACACGTGGAGGGTCTGAAATCTAGACCAACTCGCCCCAGCGGCGCAGCTTTCTTCCGCTTCTTCTTTGGGGCTTCTGCCTGAGCTGCCGCGGAAAAAAAAAGCAATCTCTCAAGCTGCGGGGAACAAAGGTTGTGTGCAGTAGATTGCGGATCGCATTCTTCGTTTCCGCGGCCCTCTCCGTTTCATCTGCGGGCCTCCACCTCCTCCTCTGCTTGAGCTTGCTTCCTTGGAAAAAGCTGGATGGCGTGCTGTTGGACACGATCCCACGCAAGCTAGCAGCTAGCAGCACCTACCCAATTTATGACACAAGTATAAAAATATATATATGTGTGTGTGAAGAGATATACATATATAAGCTCTATGAAAAAAGACGGAACTCGTTCCTTCATTGTAAGCTAGCTCATGTGTCTCATTGCTTGCCCATGTTGTGCCGCCGGGCGGCTTCTTTTTAGGTTTCACAGGGGCTTCGGCCTGTGCTAACAGAGGCTGGCTGCCAAACCCACAAATGGAGACGCTGCAAAAATGATGTGTGGGTGGGCTAAACCCCAAACCCAACAGTGCCACATATCAAAAAAAGGACGACTTTGTCAAAACAAGCGGCAACTGACCTGGGCTCCAAGCTTGGTCCATTCAATCAACGCAAAGTTTTCTGAAATCTGAGAGCGATGGCCCTAAAAGGAGGGCATGGCGCCTCTTCCTCCGCTTCCATTTGCGCTCTCTTCCTCAGAGCGCCCCAGCTGAAGGCAGTGCATCGACATGCGCCATCACTTTGCCACACTTTGTTGCGTACAAACCATGACTTCTACCATGCACCATCACCTTAGAAGTGGACGACTGACCCCCCTTCGGACCCCGGGTGACTTCGGAAGCATTTCCAGCGAAGAAGGCCAAGTCGCTTCTTCTTCTTGGGCACCTCCACAGCGCCCTCCTCAACGGTTTCCCCACCAGCGGCTGCTGCCTTGGCGGCCGCAGCTTTCTTGGCCTTCTTCTTTCGTTGCTTGGTGACCTGGTTGCAGCCACGCAGGTGATGCGCAACTTTCAACGATTGATGCCGAAAGCCGAGGGGTTGCGACAATAATACATCAATGGTGGGGAAACCAATGAAAGTAGTCAAGGTGTTGCGACATACATCCTGAACAGTGGCACCATGAACAGCATGATTGAAGAGGGATAGGATGCCATCAATACGCACTCACATTGCTTCTGAGTCCATCAGAAAGCTTCTCAGCCTCCTTGATGGCTTCCTGCATGACTTCCAGGTTCTTCCGTGGCGTAGTTCCCTCGGACAGGAATGTTAGCCGCTCTTCTACCTGCAAATGAAAAATCCGATAAGATCCGAACGAAAAGCTCGAGAAACATCAGGAAACACGAACTAAATTATGAGGGCTCAAATGTAAATTTGATTAAATTTGTCTGGTGGTAGTGTGTTGCGTGCGTCTTGAAGAGACAGCCGCGTATCTCATTTCATCTCGTGTCTGATCTTGGAGTCCAAGCGCTGCCCCATGATGACAAGGGCAAGAAGTTGCACAAATCCCCACCCGACAAATAGCCAACCATTGATATGTAACCTGACTATACATACTGGGTCTTGCTTTGAGGAATCGCAGGTGCATGCAAAAGAGGAAGTGGAAGAAGTGTCGTCAATCTTTGGAATCTTTGGGCTTGTAAGTGCTAGATCTTTGCATTGTCCTGCCATCCAATTCGTGGCAATCAGCAGCTGTCGCTGTGAGGGCCCAACCCCAAATGTCTCAAACCCAAAGTTGAGCTTTCCTGCAAGTTGTTCCTTTTCCAGACCTGCTTACTGAGTGCAAGCCTTACAAAGATCAATCCACTCAAGGAAGGACATGTGTGCTTTCTCCGCGCGCCTGGTCTTTGAGCTTCTCACCGAAGACGGTCGTGGCCTCGTCGGAGAAGCAGTCGATGCGCGAGGCTAAGGAGCACTTGTTGGCCAAATACCTCCAAGCGTCACTGCAACTGAGCCCATCCCAAAAGTGGTCATAAGCGGAAGCTTAACCGGCTCTCTCTTGGATGAGAACTGGATAGGCCAAACTCAACTCTCGGCCACTTCTTGGCCGTGTAATGCAACTGCTTGAGCGCAGCGGACATGGTAGGTGATGTGTCGAACGCGCGAGGCACCTAGATATTCGGCCTTTGTTCTTGCTCTGTGCGCGCCCGATGAAGGTCGAATGGAATATCAAGCCTTAGCTTCTTGGAGAGGTGTGCCCGAGAATCATGCAAGCCTCATCTCGTCTCGACTTCTTGACTTTAACATACTTTAACATGTGGATAGCACATATCCAAGGTTCGCAGGGCGGGAACCTGAAAAAGCTCTTGGAGGAAGCCATGAATCAGGTCTGGGTCAGAGCTCTACTTCGGAGGTTGTCAACAAACCTCCTTGCAGCAGGGTCAATGTGCATCAATGGGGTCTGCTTGCCACCCAAGAATCCATATTTTGGCGTGTTCCCCTGGGATGGCCGGGAGTCACTGAAAACGCGCTGACATAAAGCTGACTTCCCCCTTTGGACAAGAAAGATAACAACAACACCAAGTGGAAAAACTGCCCCTCTTTGACAATCTGATGGGCGTTGACTTCTTCAGGCAACTTCGGGTGTTCCAACCCACCCCAACGACCTCGGAGGGTCGATTTGGCGCGTTTGGGTCGCTTTCGAACCGCAGGGTTTCGCGGACGCGAAGAACTCCAAAGAGGGGTGCCACCCTTTGGAACGCCCGCGTGGCGCAGGTCCAGGTGAACACTGAAAACGGCGATCTGAAATGAACACGACGCCCCACGGTCCGGCCCCACGGCTCCGGTCGTCCGGCCTTGGTCTTCAGTGCTCGGAAGAGCGCCTTCTCTGCACCAAGGATTTGCACGGTGCTGGCAGGGTACTTGGCCAAGTTCGTCAAGCTTCCTGGCAGCTCGGGCCAGGGGCCAGGGGCGAGTTAGGCTCCACAAAAAACCAGGGGCCTGGTTAGGTGAGGCAAAGGAAGACCATCAAAAACCCCGAACCCAAACGGATGGAACCTCGGAATCTTCTTGCAAGTTCATCCATCCTACACTATACAGTATACAGTATACATCTATATACATACTGGACACCTTGGAGTTTGATGTGAGCGTCCCACATCGTCTCCCACCTGCATGGGAGATGAGACGGGCTCCGATGATCTCGCCGATCAGCGCCGCCAGGTTGGGCGCGACCAAGTCCATCTTCGCCTAGAAGGGGACCAGAAAGCGTGCTGTTCCGTGGGTTGGGGCACCTGTCCAGGAGGGATGCTCATGTTGATTTGGCCGTGGTCAGGCTTTCGCTCCACCACAACAAGCCGCCTCGCGGTCTTCCCCCAGTGGCGGAAGAAAGGTGCTGAAGAATGATGGTCCTGACTTGTGTTTTCTTGGTACCATGCAACCGCCACCAGGCCTTGAGATACTCGTGCAGCGTCTTGCGCCTCAGGCTGCAACTCCAAGCGACGTTGGCCCAAAAAAAGGCACCAAACAAACCCCGAAGACACATCAAAACACCCCCATGCCGCCGGTTAACCGTTCTGAAGTGAACTGGTCCTGGTATGAAGTCGTAGCATGTCGTAGCAAGTCGTACCACATCTAGAAAATGCCCTGGTCGTGTTACTTCCAACGTAACCCCATTCATGCCCCTGCCCTGGGCCTGCCACACCCGGCCAAGGCACATGTCGGCCAACTTGATCACCTCGCTGGCAAAGTGCTCGATGTTCTTCATGTCCATCTCTACGATGTCCTGACTGTCGTCCAAGTGAATCGTCGTGGCCCGAACTGCGAAGTCACAGTTGAAAAAGGCAGCTGAAAAAAGCACCATGGTCAGTTCTGGGTTCTCATGGGCTCCCGCCTGGCCCATCGACATCTTCAATGCCTTCCTTAGCTTGGAAGCTGTTTCTTTGGCACTGCCAGGTTGGCTTCAATCTAGTTGCCACTACTGCAGTCAGACCAGTGCGCAACACCTGGTCTGAGACTCCTTGCTTTTCGGCTGATGGAGGCCAAACAAGTCATCCGACTCTACTCAATCCCTTTTAACCTCTTCCAACCCCTTCCCGATCCAAAAAGGCAGCACTCCTCCAACCTACCCCAACCAACCCAACCTACCCCAGCCACTCACCAGTCGAGCCTACCAAGCCGCAGGATCTCATCGGCCACCTCCTCCGAGCCACAGGCCTCGGTCAAGGCCTCCTTGTCGCCTATGGGCCGTTTGGGGGGGTTCCGTTCGAAGATCGACGCTGTTGACACGCGAGTCAGCCGGCAGTCCCGGTAGTCTACAAGTCCGGTTCTTCCGAAGAATCGACCTACCCCAGAATCTCCAAAATCACAAACCGGTCCTCTTACCAGAATCTTCAAACAAATAGAGGGAAGAAGCGGCCCAAAGAAAACACCCGGCCTTCGTAGCCATCCCGCACCTCAGCTGCGCACGTCGACATCGTCATCAGTTTCTCCACCCCACCTGACGTCGTCAGTCCCGGAAGACCCTTCTGACGTCAAGCGACGCGGATGACCCGGGACACCTTCGCGTAGGCGATGTTGTCCGTGACGATCTTGGTGAGTTCCGGGAAGTGCCACGCGTACCACTCCTGGACATATGCTGGACGACATCATGAGTCCATCAGCATGGGCCACCGGCGGAACTGCTTTGATGGACATCTGGCGGTCCGAATTCACTGGTGGATTCGATGCGATGCGCCTGGGGGGTCCATTCCAACTATGGCCATGGATTCACCTATACCGTGCAGGGACACTCGGCGAAAGGTGTTGCGGCCAAGGCACCCGAACCCGCATCGCAAAGGTGTTGATATTCCTCGGCCGTTTCCAGGTGGTCGAAGGAGTGCTTTTTGTGCACAAGAAGCCCTGGTAGCACATGCCCTGTAGCTGAGACACTTATCTAGGTTGTCCAGGAGCGCGATGGTGTTCATAATCGGCTTGTCCTCAAAAGGTCGCGCGGAATCTTCGCTCCGGGCTGGGGCAATTCGATTGAGAACCCACCATCAGCAGCACCAGCAAGTCCACACTAGTCCCCTGACCCCAAGACCCTGCAAATCACATTGCCGTACACCTGCCCTCGGCCCCAAAAATTGCATCTCTGGCGCCTGGCGGTTGGGATCAAGCTGCATCCGATGCCGGCTGAAGGCGTGCCCCAGGCCCAGTCGGGCTTTATCCAAGTCGCTGTCGCTCAAGGCCTCACAGGTGGTGCTTGGGCGGCTAGTGACCCGTGCCCCTGTTATGGCGACTGTGGAATGCAGTCAATTCTCTACTAATGGGCGGCGATCGTGTTCTCGCACTCTAGACTCAATTTCCCAGACTTCATACAAGTCGGTCTTGGGTGCTTCATTTCCTAGTAGCTTCTTGCTCCTAGCAGTAAGGCCAGGAGCCCCTAGTAGCGTCCCTGCTCCTAGTAGTAAGGCCACGAGCCCCTAGGCCCTAGCAGCTTCTTGACCAAATTTCCGAGACTTCATACAAGTCGGTCTTGGGTGCTTCATCTGCGGAGCGCAAGGGGTTCCGGTTGGCTTCCGCACCTTGACCAGGCGGCCGAAGTGTGCTCGGCAGCCTCTCAGGAGTTCCTGGCGTCAGTCAGCGTGAGCAATGGAAAAGGTTTAGGGTTCCCTCCAATCCCACATCGTCCGATCCCAAAATCAGTTGCTCTTTGGGTCCCACGGTCCACTCGACCTTTTTCAAGACCCCCTTTTGATCAGGGAACATCACATGTTTAACTTGACATTAAATGTTTAGAATCACTGATTGCTATGTGGGAAGGTTCCTTCCACAAAGTCATCGTTGAACAAATGCCAAGTGCATTTCAGTGAAGGGGCCATCAGTAATTGGGATACGGATGCAAATGGATTATATATATATATATAGACGCAAATGTTGAGAAAAAACATGACGAAACTGAGATTGCGTTGACATGGGGGGAAAGGTCAAAGCGACAAACAAATGTGACGAAGCCAGGACGTTCACTGAGGGTAAGGGATTTAAAAAAAAAAAAGTAAAAATAGAATCGAAAAAAATATATTCAACGGGGATCACTTAAAAAAAAAGGAATATATTCTAGCCCACTGAGGATGGTTGGGGTAGTAGTAGTAGCAGTAGCAGTAGCAGGATTAGGAGACCAAGGGAAGAGGATGGAAGGAGTAGGGGACTAGGAGAGTGTACTTCCTAGTAGGGAGCTATTTCTACTGGTGAACCATTTTTCGAGTAGGGCTACTCAATGCCTGGACGGCTACCATGATTGGGTACCTACTTTCCTCCCAGAAAGCTGCCTCTAGTAGAAAGAAATCAAGCCTCGATTTAGCAGGGGACCAGGAGACCGAAAGACGAACGGAGTAGGAGAGCAAGAGACCAGCGGACCAGGAGACAGAAGGACCAGGATACCAGGGGACCAGCGGACCACAGGACCAGAGGACCAGGAGACCGGAGGACTAGGGGACCAGTGGACCAAAGGACCAAGGGACCACCAGTGGACCAGAGGACCAAGGGACCAAAGGACCAAGGGACCTTATTACCAGAGGACCCGCAGGCCACAGGGCCAGGAGAGCAGCAGAAGAGGCCTATCAAGGAATATGTTTTTGATTCGCTTTTTATGTTTATTTTGATAATATTTTTCTTTTTTTTGATGCTCGTTGTGTTATTTTTTGATACCTATGCCGTTCACTGATCCCTGTAGCTGCTGCACCACGGATTCTCAGCAGATTCTGGTTTTGTCGTTCCACCGAGACACTTTTCGCAACACATCGTTCATAGTATATTGAGCTGAGAATGCATCAAAAACAGCTAGTAAAATAAGCTAGTTTTAGCGTGTATTATATAGCTTGCGTTTCTGGAAAAGCTACTGTACCACTTCCTGCAACGCGATTCTGCAAAAATGAACTGTGCTTTCCGAGAATGAGCTAAGTCTAAGAACCCCAGAACACCGAAGCCTGTAAGATCTATTAAGCCTAAAGTGAAAAGTGCATGGGATTGCTGGCAACCTAATAGCGATGGCCTCCAACCTCATAGACTCAGTGGCATTACATGGAATTGCTGGCAACCTGAGGGTGTTCACCTCGCCATTTCACCACCTCCGCCCCACCACTTCGGTCACCGATCTTCACCTTCACCGACTGGCCGTGTGTGATCGGAAACTGCTCTGCCAAGGCCTGGCGCGGTCCGCCGTGTGTGTGTGTGTGTGTGGTCACCATGTGATCCATGAAAACCACCATCGATTGAGCCAAAAGGCGTTAGATCCGAAAATCGATTGAGCCAAAGGAGTTGTTTGATGTGGTCTGTCTTGCTTGGAAGGAGCTCTCCCGGCTTGCTGTCGGCTTCGTGCCAAAACGCTTTGGGCCTTCCCCAGCTCAGGGTCATAAACACCAAGCCTCGGTCCACCGCGGCATCAACGCGATGAAAACCCACCGGCAAACTCCGAAGCTCCGAACGTGTTCGTTCGTCACCATCTTCACCGTCCCGTTTCGTGCGGACCATTCAGAAATAGAACTGGCAGCGTCTGCCCTTGAAGACGGTTTCAAGCATTTCCTCTTGCCAGCTTACCACCTTACAGCAACTTGATGTGTTTTGTGCCCCTCCACGTATTAGCTTAGGCCCCGGTATACAGTATACAGGTGCAATACCTTGTGGAGCGGCTGGTGATGATGCGATGCATCTCTGCGTGCCAACAGATCTCTACATGCCATCTACCTCCGAACTGAAACATCTGCTGCAGGACCTAGCTGCTCTGTGCCGCCAGGAGACTGGTATGACTTTTTCTTCTTGGGCAAATTCATCTCCAAGAAGTTTACCTCAATTGACGACCATCTGACCATCGGTGTGGCTCCCTCGATAGGATCAAAAAGGAACCAAACCTCCCTTGGGCGTCCCTTCCGTCCCTTCCTTTCCTTCCTTCCCTTCTGGCCTCCACTGGTTTCAATATCCCTCCCAACCATCGAGGTCGTATGGCTGGTGGTCCGAGCGTCCAGCTCCTCGGTCGCCTCACCAGCGGCCACGGCATTCGTTTGGCTCAAGGCGTCCTCCGCATCTTGGAACCTCCGCGGAGCACGCGGCGCGCGCGGAAAGCGCGGAGCGCGCGGTGCGGCCTGGGAGGTCCGAGTGCCCCTGGGATAGCCAGGTGCAGCTACGACTCCGTTTTTCGCATGACTTGCAAGAGCCAAGTGGCGGGAGCCACGCATGCAGCCCCATCATTTTTCCAAACTTCTTTGGATCCAGCAATGCGTTCTGCACCTCAGCAACGCAGTTCCCAGCCCCGGCTGCCAAAATCCATCTTACATTGCAAAGAACAGGGTGCTTCACCTCACCGCGGGCTGCTCAACAATGCTTCCGGCCTCCTCCTCTGTTTCTGCAGTTTCTTCAAATTCCTTTTTCAGGAAAAGTGCATAGCCTGTCAGCTGTGGGGCTCGCTGTGACTGCTTCACTCAATTGCCTCCCATTTCAGCGATGGATCTTCATCAACCTACGACCCACCCGTATGGTGTTCAATCAAAGGAGGATCGCTGCTTCATCCCTGAACCGGAGCACAGGTCAAAAATCACACATCGATCCGGAAACCTTCCACGATTGTTTTTCTGGAAGCCTTTTGTCTGACTTGTCAGCTTCAAGAGACTCCTAGAGCCTTCAGGTTATATATATAGTCCAATGTCCAATTCTCTTCTCATCTCTTGTTATCGGACCTGCCGCACTCTCGTAGAGCAAGTAAGTGGTCATGGCGCTCCGCCGGCTCCGCGGAGCGCCAGGCCCGATTCGGGCGAGCCGTGAAAGGCTGCGGTCGGTTCGGTGTTTCGCGCGCGCGACGTGGGAGTGCAGTCGAAAGACCCTCGGGTTTTGGGGGGCCAAGATCCTTCAGGTCTGTCTGACCGAACTCTTCCCCCG